GCCCCTTTGCATAATGAAGCCCCACTGGGGAGGTCACTGCTTTTCCTAGGAGCCCTCGGGCACTCCCAGCAAGGCAAACAAATCCTCCTGGGGCTGGCTGGCTGCAGTGGCCAGCCTCATTTCCTGGGGTGTATCCTGCCCAGCTGGAGATTCCACACGGGACAGCATCCACACAAAGTGTGCCCACACAAAAACACAGCCAAAACACAGCCCAAAACTAACACACCTCAAAAACACAGCCCAAAACAAACACAGCCCAAAAACACACACCTCAAAAGCACAGCCCAAAAACACAGCCAAAAACACACACAGCCCAAGAACACAGCCCAAACAAACACAGCTCAAAACACAACCTGAAAACACAATCAAAACACAGCCCAAAAACACAACCAAAACCAAACACAGCCCAAAACACAGCCAAAAACACCCCAAAACACACACAGCACAAAAACACAGCCTACAAACACAGCCAAAAACACAACCAAAAACACAGCCCCAAAAACAAACCCCAAAACACAGCCAAAAACAAACACAATCACAACACAGCCCAAAAACCAACCAAAGACACAACCAAAACCAAACACAGCCCAAAACCCAGCCAGGGACAGGGCACAGGCGGGCAGGGGGAGCAGGCAGTGCCCTCCCCGTGCACGAGGTGTCCTGATCAGGCAGTGTCTCCATGATGGGACACATTCCTCTCCCCCACACATGCTCCCACTCTTCTTTCCATGTCACTGGGCCTGCAGGTCTAGGTTTTTCCAGATTATCTCATTTTTGGCGCCTGTGTTCACAAACCGAGACTCAGCGTTTCCCACTCTGCCCCTCCATTTGGAATCCTGGGCTGTAGGAATTTTCCCATTAAAAATAAAAATAATAACAATAAAAAGACTGTCCATAACCTAGCCTGAATCTGTCAGCTGGTTTAGGAGGAAACATTTCCCTACAGCTTTAATCTCTTTGCACAGTTACAGAGCTGGAAATGGTGACTCACTGCAGCTCCACTCAGCCCTGGGCTCTCCATCCCAGGGAGCCTGGCTGTGTTAACAGCTGTCCAAATCCCTACAGCCCCTGCAGCCCCACACCTGGTGCCACCCCAGCAGCACAGGACAGAAGAAAAGTCACCCCAAGGTTTGTGTGGCTTCACTTCTCCATCCCTGGGTGTCCATGGCAGGATGGAACTGCAGCTCCCACCACGACTTCCCAGCACACAGCAACAGGTCCTTGGTTCTCACAAGGATTTCAGTGGATCTCAGAGTTTGCTTCTTTCCATTTTTAAGTATTTGTAATTGTTTAAATTTTAACCCAACTCTATGGGAGCTCTAAGGAAAAGCCTTTCCATAAGGGTTCTAGCTGGAAAAAAAGAGTGCAAACAGTTGAATTGCTTCACTCTCCTGATGCTGCCCTGCTTGTTGTGCAGCAGAATAGATGGGGGGGACCCTGCTGAGTTTTAAGAGACACCCAGCACCCTGTGTGGCTGTCCCAAAGGGGCCAGGGGACAAAGCCTCCAACAAAGCTGAAAGCTCAGAGATGGTTCAGACTGTTTTGCACAGACCCACATTGGGACACAGAGGAAGGTCACATGCCTGTTTTAGGTGTTTTTATCTGCCCTGATTTATCCAAACAAGCTCCAGAGCATCCTTGCCACGAAGGCCCACGGGGCAGGAGCAGAGCAGTGGTGGGACAGAGCCTGCCTGGCTGGCTGAGGGCTGTCCCAGGGCCTGGGCAACCACAGCAGCGTGTGAGGAGACAGAGAGCAGCATCACATCAAACCAGCTTTGCCTGCTCACCTGGGAGTGCTTCCAGTGCACCACCTGAGACCCCAGAGCTGAGCCATCAACACAAACAGCTTCACACTGGGGAAAGAGCAACAGACTATCAAACCAAAATGGAAAGCATGAATTTTTCTGGAGCCAGCAATGCCTTCCCCCCTCTTCAAGCCTGACCACCACACGTTGCAAGGAACAAGAGAGGGCCAAGATGTTCAACCACACAAGCACAATGCCAGAGGTGGGAGGCACAGTGCAAGGGGATGCTGTGGCAGATCACCCATGACAGATTTGGTGTGGCTTTTCCTGAGGATTCCTGAGGAAGGGGATGTGCTCTGGCAGTGGCCCTGGGCTGCACCCTCGTGCTGACACACAGGGAAAAGGGACAGAGCCCTCACAACCCCTCCAATTTTGTCTTCGTGGCAGTGTGGCTGGACCTCGATGGTCTTTAGGGTCCCTTCCAAGCCAAACCATTCTGTGACGATTCCTGGAGACATTTGGACTGAAAGCCCCTTTTGTACCCGAGGCAGGCTGGCTCGTGCTGCCAGGCAGAGTGCAGACAGCTGGGCTCAGGGTGACACTGGTCCCAGCAGCTGTCCCCCCTCTCTCCCTGCCCAGGGCAGCTGGAGCATTCAGCAGCTCAGCCAGAATTCTGCTCTTAAAGTGCCAACCACCCGTGGGGCTCAGGGCTTGGGCACTCAGAGCAGCCCAGAGCCAGCAGGGTGAGGCTGAGCACCCACCCGCGGGGCAGGATGAGCCTCCTGGGCACCACACACAGCAGTGGGGACAGAGGGGGCTCACAAAATCCCATCCGTGGGCTGGGGCTCAGAGCTCAGCTGTGCCCAGCTGGAGATGGCCCAACCTGTAAAAAGCCCAGCTCAGAAAAGCCAGACCTACACCACACACAGGAAGAGAAACCCACTTGAGTCCTGCAGGTTTGACATCAGCTCCCCTGCTGACTGCTGGCCTGGTTTTACACCAGCACACACCTCAGCCTGGCCTCTCTGCACCCCACTGTGACCACAGGGCTGCCCCCAGGAGAGGGGATGGAAGCCCTGGTCCAGCTCCAGGGCCAGGCACGGACCTCCCAGGTCCTGGCACAGCCACCCCAGCCCATCCCACAGCCCCCAGGGTGGGGAGGGAGGGGGTGCCCTCCCCCTGACCACAGGATCACTCACAGGAGAGAGCTCGTGGGCGATGGAGAATGGAAAAGTAATTAACAGGTCTGAAAATAAAATCTCCAAAATATTATGGAGAATAAATGACAGCTGGGAAGGGAGGGAAGCTGGCTTTAACATGGAATTAATTGAAAACAAGATAGGGCTAATATAAGCCAGGTCTCTAGTTTAATAGTGGCTCTGGTCCATGATGTTATTAGCCCTGGTCTCCAAGGTCAAAACCCTGACTTCTGCTAATGAAGAGGCGGTTCCTGCCCCACAACCATAAACAACAACACCAAACAATGATATCCCAACACCACTGCAGAGCCAGCACCTCTCCCACACCTCAGAGCCTTTCCAGGGCTCTGCACACAGAGCCTGAGCTGGCAGAGCTGGCACTTCCCAGCACCCAGGGACGCACACTGCAAAGGGGGATGTGGCAGGATCACCCATGGCAGATCTGATGTGGCTTTTCCTGAGGATTCTCCTGTCCCTCACCCAGCTGAGGATCCCACGGGATCCCTCCATTGCTCAGGGCAGGTGGATGTCTCTGGATGAAGCCCTGCTGCTCCCACAGTGATTCCCTGCTCCTCTCCTCGCAGGGATGAAGCAGCTCCTGCCACACTGGCACCACAGCACTGCTCAGAGCTGCTCTGCCAGCACTGGCATTTCCTTTTCTCTTTCTTTCTAGAATTTCCAATTGAATGTGACAGCTCTTTCAGGCAGGATAAACCCAAGGGGAACAGCTCTGCCTGCGGACACATCTGAGCACAGATCCCTGAGCAGCCTCAGGAGGTGTCACCACAGGAGCTGAAAGAGCAGCACAGAGCTCCTGCCACCTCCTGTGTGACACCTGAGGCAGCCACCACCCCACTCAGGGCTGCACTTGTGGTAATCACACATCCTCTGAACAGAGAGAGAGTATTGTAAATGCAGGGTCACCAACAAGGGGAGAGATTGATGCATCTGACTCCATGTTCTCAGAAGGCTAATTTATTACTTTATTATACTATGTTATTTAAAGAATACTACACTATACTATACTAAAGAGTACAGGAAGGATACTTACTGAATGCTAAAAAGATAATAATGAAAACTCCTGACTCTTTCCAGAGTCTCAACACAGCTTGGCACTGACTGGCCAAAGAGTGAAAACAACTCACACCAGAATCCAATGAAACAATCACCTGCGGGTAAACAATCTCCAACCACATTCCACATGAGCACAACACAGCAGAAGCAAATGAGATAAGAATTGTTTTCCTTTTCTCTGAGGCCTCTCTTGCTGCCTTTCAGCTTCCCAGGAGAAAAACCCTGGGTGAAGAAATCACGTTCAGGGAATGTGAATGCCACAACATAGTTCTCCCAGGATTTTCCTGGGAAGCTGTGGGAATCTTAGAGCAAAGCATTAAAACAATTATCATCTCTCTTTCTGTAACCCTTGTTTATAGATATGGTTCTCCAGAGTGCGCTATTCACAGCTCAACAACACTGTGAGAGGTTTTCACTTTAAGACCAATCAAGTCTCACCTTAATGAGTCATATTATAAAAAGACCCACTATTTTCATTAAATTGCCTTCTGATCCACCTCCTGAAGACTGGAGTGATACAGAAACTTCTTTGAGCCAAGTGTAATAAGCTCTCTGAAGCCTTTATTACACCTAAGATAGCTCAGCTACCCTTGGAGGTATAAAAATAAGCAGGATGGCTTCTGTTATAGTGTTAGAGACAAAAAGGTTTAATAAAAGGTAAAATAACAAACAGAAGAACTGAGCCAGGTGCAAGAGATCTTGGAAACACCTCAGAAAAGCAGTTAGTTCCTTTATTCACTTCTTTTCCTGCTAAACTGCCCAGGCAGGACTTTTTAGCTTCTGTCTAATTAGCTATCCTTAAGTCTGAGGTAAAGTCTTATGAAATAGCTTTTCACTTAATCAATGAGAGAAGCTTCTGAGCTTCTGGGCTTCTTTCCTCTTTAGGAGGACAAAGCTAGTTTTGCCACTCTACCAACAAAGAACACATTCCCACACCGGAGCCCTTCGCTCCGTCCCTGACCCAACAGCGTCCCGCGCTCACCTTCCTCCCTCTTGGGCGGGCTCTCCACGGGCACTGCCTGCAGCTTGGGCTCTGCCAGGTGTGTCTGGGCGGGCAGGGCAGGCTCTGAGCCCTCAGCCGGCCGCGTGGCCGGGCTCTCAGCAGCTCTGGCCCCCTGGATGTCCAGGCGGCGCGGCGCGGCGTCGGGCGCGGCGGGCTCGGCGCGGCGCTGCGGCAGCTCGGGGATTTTGGAGGCTGGCACCTCCGCCCTGCGCAGCCCCTGGGGCTCCTGGGGCTTGCCCAGGGTGATCTCAGTCCTCCTGGCCGTGGCCTCGGGGGGTTTGTGGCCAGCATCGGCTCGTTTGAGGCCGAACCGCGACAAGCCCGAGGTGGAGTTCTCCACCTGCTTGGATGAGATGTCAATGGAGATTTCTGTTCTTCTGGACACCGGCTCGGGCAGTTTGGGTCCAGAGAGCTCCACTCTCCTCAGAGGGGGCTTGGGGGATCTTTGGACTGTGGGTTCCGCATGGCGGGTGGATGGCTCCGAATTCCTGGCGCCGAGTTCCTGAAACTTCTGTGTGGAGCTGGACACGGTGGACCTGAGGAGGGTGTTCGGGGCCCGTCGTTGTGGGGTGGAGGAATTTGAAGACTGATCTACCTCCTCGACCTCAAAGGATCTTTTCAGAGCTGAAAAACACGAAAAGTAGTTGAGGATTTAGTTACCATCCACCTGAGTGTTTCCAGGGAAATACAGGTTGGATATCAGGAAAAAGTTTTTCTCTGAAACCGTGATAAAGTTCCAGAGTGGCTGCCCAGGGAGGTGGTGCAGTCACCATCCCTGGGTGTGTTTAACAAAGCCTGGATGTGGCACTGGGTGCCAGGGTTTGGTTGAGGTGCTGGGGCTGGGTTGGACTCGATGATCTTGGAGGTCTCTTCCAACCCAGTGATTCTGTGAATTCTGTGAATTCTGTGAATCAGGATCCAGGGACAGAACTGGAGCACAGCCTTGCCTCATCCCAGGATGTTCTCCCACCCCTGGGGTGGAGCTGGAGAGGAGCCACCATGCAGGAAGCATCCATGTCCCAGGGCTGCTCTGACCCTGGACCCTCCATCCCTCGGACACATCCATTGGCTGGGCAGGAGCCACCAGCCACTGCTGGGTGCAGCTGGTGGCACAGGGAGGGGGGACCATCCCCGTGGCAGCCACCCAGCTCTGCTCCAACGCCCAGCAGGGCAGCAGCAGATGTCACCTCCTCTGCCCTGGCAGCAGGGGCTGGCACAGCCAGGATCACCTCCCCTGGCACAGGGAAAGCAGAGATGCTGAAGAAGCCCCCTTGGAGCTGGGGCTCACGTGTTGGACAAGCCACAGCAAGGGGAGACTGCAGGGGTTGAAATGTGAGGGTACAGACTCTGGGCTGCTTTCCTTTTGGGGGTAATACCCCAGAACTCCTCAATATGAACCCCAGGTTGCAAAAGCAGCCTGGCTGGGCTCTGAGGAGCCTCCCCAGGATGTTCTGTATTAGTGACCTGGCAGGACCCCCTCTGTGCTGAGGGACAGACAGACATGAATAGACACACACCCATTCCCCCAGCTGCGGTTCAGATATGGGAACTGCTGGGAAGAAACAGGAGTCTGGGATGGGCTCCCAAGGGTGGGTACCAGCTGGAGGGATGCACAGAGGGATCCAACCCCAAATTCAGCCTGATGGCAGCAGCACCACGGCTGCTCTGTGGTCGTGGGGAGATGAAAGCACCAAAGCACAACACTCACCCCCCCGTAAACCCAGGAAGGGTCCCACAAAGGGCACCTCCCAAAATGGCCTGTCTTGCATCTCAGAAATATTCAGACATTGGTAGAAGACAGAAGGGAAGCAATAAAGAAAAACTAAAAATGCTTTTGCTCAGCTTTATTTGGTTTCTGCATTCTGTGGAGCTCTCCCAGCCATGCCATCACCTACTCACAGGGGTGACAGCTCCCTGCAGCAGTCCCTGCCCTGCAGTCTGCACTTGGCACAGCTCATGCACTGCAGGTCTGTGTCCAAGCCACGGCTCTCAGCATCCCAGAATAATTAATTTAAAAGAAGCCCCACACTGGAAAGCTCTTTCAACATGTTTGAACTCTCAGGTCTCCAACCCTCAGCTGGAGCTCTGACCCTCCAGCACAGATTTTCCACAGTTTCCCCTCTCCATCATACACTTTATCCAGAAACAAACATTTTAGCTGGTTTTATTCCCAAAACCCCCACGTTTAAAACAATGCAGCAGCCAAGCCCAGCCCAGGAAATAGAGAGAGGAAGGGATGCCCCAACAGGGAGCCCCTGCCTGGCCTTGAGCAAAGCTGGGAGGGCGAGAGCAGCAGAGGACACAGCACTGGCAGCTCCCTGAGGGGTGGAATCTCACTTCTGTCCACGTCAGGCTCTTCAGACCTGCCCGTCACTCCTCCAGCCAGCTCAGTCTCCACCTCTTCCCCTCAACCAGCAGCTCTCTAACCTCCTGAGATGTGTCTTGAGGAAGAGGGTGAACGCTCTCAAGGAACCCGGCAGCAGAGGAAATGCTGACGAGTGCCTTTCCTTAATGAACACTGCCCTGGAGATCCCTCAGTTCCAAGTGGTTTGGGGATTTCTTTCTGATCTGCTAATGAGCTTTGGGTACAAACAGCCCTGCTGAGCTCCAAGGGTTGCCCACATGAGCCACATCCATCATCTCCACTCTCCCGAGCCCTGCTGCCCCTTCCCAAAGAAATGGTGAGTAACCCGATTGCAGTGCTGACCTACATGGCCCCTTTCTTCTGACTTTGAACCCCACAAAGTGCCCCAAGCCCAGGGTAAACCTGCCCAATTCCACCCATGTGGTCTTTCTGGAGCACAGCCAGCCCCTGTCCTTATCAAAGGGCTGGACTGAATTACAACACCCAAAAATGGCTTTTTTCCAGCTCTTTCTGGGCCCTGTTGCAGAAAAGACAAAAAGGTCAAAGCCCAGACACAAAGGGGTTCAAAAAGCCCCAGGCAGAGCTGCAGAACCACGATTACAGCCTCAGGACAGCCAAGCCCTGCAGATAAATCCTGCCTTGTGCTGCTGTGCCAGCAGGCAGGAAGGGGCACTGAGGGGCTGGGCAAGGAACCTCCACCCCAAAGAGGGGCAGAAATGGCTCAGCACAGCTTCTGACAGCAAAATCAGGAGGAGCCCCAGGTCCCAGTGGCATTCCCTCCCCAGCAGGGTCACTGACCTGCCTGGGGACAATCCTCTACCCTCTCTGCAGGATGGGGTGACCACCTCACGGTTTCACAGGGATTTCAGTACCCAGCCTGTGTTGCTGGCACATTTCATGAATTCAGCGTGGTCTGGAGAAGGTCAGACACCCCAGGCATGAGAAAAGAGAAGGAATATGACCACGAGGGTTTGTGTTTCCACCCCGAGACAGATCCCCAGTGCCATGAACACGATGATCCTTGGGAATGTCACCTTCAGCAGTGCTGGCCCTGAGGGACTGAGCAGGGCTGGAGCTCCCAGCTCAGCACTGCCTCTCTCCTCCTTGCACGAGAAGAGAGAAGAACCTCAGGAAGCACAACAGCTCCCAAAAAAAAAAGAGAAAACACTTATAAATAGTGTGTCCTGCCCAGAGCCAGGAAAGGAAAGTAAACAGCCTCTGCTCCTCCTCCCAGCTTCCTGCAGGGAAGTGTCTGTATTCCCCACAAAAGCAGCAGCTGAAGGCAAGGCAGGGCTCTGGGCCCCACACCCCACTCCCACCCGCCGTGCCAGGGTCTCCCATGGGCAGCTGTGGCTGGTTCTCTGTCCCCAAGGGCTCCAGGTCCCCTCATACCCCTGACAGCCCCAAACGAGGTGTCCCTGCCCTGGGCTGGCCACACTGCAGGACTGTCCCCACTGTTGTATTTTCCAGGGGGTTTTGGGCACAAGCAGGGCTTCCCCAGCCCCTCCAGCAGCATCCATGGTTTGGCTGGTGCTGGAGGCAGCTGGGCAGGGAAAGTGGCAGAGGTGTTGAGCTCTGTGCTTCCTTCTTCTGGAGGTGCACGTGGGGCTGAACCCGCACTGCCTTGGGCACCTCCTTCTTTCAGCCAGTCCCAGACCCATTCTGACATCTCTGGCTCAATCCACCACTGAAGGCAGCGACTTTTGGGCACGGAAAGCCCAAAATACCCTAAAATGAGATTTCCAGGTGCTTCCTATCTGATACAACCTCTGCAACAACCCACATCTGGGCTGGGAGCTGCTCACTGCTTTACAAGAGCTTTGCCATCTTCCTATTGTCCCAACCATGTGATGAGGCTGATGCTGAAAACACAGCTCAAGGAACGTACCCCAGCAGCCCTGTCCTGTTTGTGAAAGGGAAAAACACACAGAGCAGCACACACAGAGCAGCACACACACATGTCCCAGCACACACACATGTCCCAGCTGGAAGCTCAGGAGCACACAGCCACCACAGCTCACCCCGCTCTGCAGTGTATGTGTACTTTTAGTAATTGATTAGAGCAACTGTCTGTCAGCTTTAGCAGTATGTTATTGGCTAGAAAGTTTTTAAGACGCTCTGTTTTAAAAAAATCTTTGGCTGCTGCTGGCTTTACATGAGCTTTGCCATCTTCCTATTGTCCCAACCATGTGATGAGGCTGATGCTGCAAACACAGCTCAAGGAACGTACCCCAGCAGCCCTGTCCTGTTTGTGAAAGGGAAAAACACACAGAGCAGCACACACACACACTCCAGCACACACAGAGCAGCACACACAGAGCAGCACACACACGTCCCAGCTGGAAGCTCAGGAGCACACAGCACTCTGCCACCACAGCTCACCCCTCTCTGCAGCCTGGCTCTGGGCACCCCGGAGGGGTCAGCCAGGGAACATCTGCAACATCTGCTCCTCCTCTCCTCCCTTTTCAAACAGAATATCCCACCAACAGGCCAAGGGAGGCTTTATACAAGGCAACATCTATGCCCAGAGCTCAGGAGGAGACAAAATAAACATCAAGGGACGCTGGCTCCTCTGGGACCTGCTTCCCAGCCGGAGCCCCCAGGCCTGTCACAGCCACGGCCCCCAACTGCTTCCCATTAAACATCCTGTGCCCCTGGCGTGGTCTCTGTAACCCAGGGGTTGCATTTGCTTGCTTGCTTAAGCACAGAGAGCTTTCCCTGGGTTTTTGGACACAGCAGAGCCCTCTGGGGCCGGGGCAGCCCCGTTATCCCCAGCACACAATGGCAGCGTTTGAGAGCCAGGGCTCGCTCTAAACTGCTACCAGATGGTCACCTCCTGTTCCCAGGCAGGAGAGGGGGGAGGCTGCAGCTCTCATCTTTCAAGGAACCCTTGGAAAGCCAACACAGCATTCACTGCTCACGGCCCTAAAGCTTCCTGCTGCAGCAGGGTGCTCACAGTGCTTTTCTGGCCCAGGCTGAGAGCAAAGAGTGTTTGCCCATGGGGCCACCTGGGTTTGGCTTATCCAAACCTCTCCTGAGTAGCTGCCACCACCCACAGCAGAGATGGGTGCACTGGAGTGAACTGAAGGCTCAGTTGTGGGAGCAAGTGGGGTGTTCTGCATGTTCCTATAGGGTATTTCTACTGTGAATTAAACCTAAAGGTCCCACAGCAGAAAGGGAAGGGAGCTGCACCCCTGCTGCAGGGCCACAGCAGGATATCTCTACCTCATCCTCAACACCAAGGTGCTCCCAGCTCCCC